CTTTCCCAGTTACCTGTGGCTGTGTTATAAAACCACTCTGAACCTGAATGACTTACGGCTACATCAATTTTATGATGCTTGAAATGTGGCTCGGGAATTCAGTCAGGGAACAGTGGAGATGGCTCATCTCAGCTAGATGAGGGCTGGGATCTCAGGCTGAGTGGCTGCAATGGGTCCTCTAGGACCAAACATCTGAGCCAGCTGGAGCTGGCTGTGCATCTCTGCCCACCCCACCCCACCCCCATCTCTTTCTCTAGCATTCTCTCTGCATGGTTCACTTGGGCTTCCTCGCACATGGTGGTCTCACGAGCATCAGACTTCTTAGGTGAAAGGGAGAGTGGCTGCCCCCAGAACAAGTTAAGAGGGCTGGGCAGAAACTTTGTGAATTAGCAGTGTAAACTCCTGACATTCTACATCATTCTACTGGACAAGCCAGTCACTAAGGCCAGCCAACATTCAAGGGGAGGGGAGTTAGACTCTACCTCTTGATGAGGGGAGTTGCAAAGAATTTATGGGTAGCTACCATCTAATGCATCCTACTGTATTGCTATAATTAGGGGTATCTCTGTTACCTAACAGTGGAAAGTACCTGGGGGTCGATTCTTATTTTCTGCCACAGAGCCCACCAATTAGCTTGAAGGTCTCTGGAAGTCTGGTCTCTGGAAGTGTCGGCACCCCCAGGGAGCAGCAGGAATATCTTCACAAGGAGACCATTCCCGGCTCACTTACTTTAGTCATGGCAACTGGTGTGACATTCCGAAGCCCAGGAGACCTTTGAGGTTGAAAAGTGCTGGGGAGGAGAGTGAGTTCTCATGGAAGCAGGTCCAATCCCCAGGCTGATTGTCTGTACCCAGACTGTGGCATTAGGGGTTTCCCCGGCACCACCGGCAGAGCTTTCTCCATGGACTTGGCTCCCTGAAGGCACAGCAGGAAGTTGCAAGGTGCAAGGAGACTTGAGGGTGTGGGCCCTGGAAGCCACACTGTCACTGCCCCAGGGTAGGACCAGTGACCTTACCCGGTTTCAGGAAGTGCACAGAGAAGCCCAGAGCCACGGCTGCAGCAGCGGTTGCAGACTCTTATTCCTGCCACTCCGTGCTCCTGGCAGCACCTTGCCTTCCTTCTAGGGGAGGGGGGCGGGCTGTCTTCAGTTTACAGACAGAATGGAGCCTGCATTCAACCTGCTCACAGGGTGTGTGGCCTCTTCCCTCCCTCCACAGCTCTTCATTTCCTGCGTCCACAACAGTCTGCCCAAGCTTCAGCACGTAGCTCCTTTAACCTCCCACCCGTGCTTTACCCAGGCCTGGCACATGGGATGTGCCATAAATGAGGGTGCAGGCTGACTGCTGGGGACTTCGGACCCTGGCTTGCCAGAACAAGTCTTGGGTTGCTGGGTGGAACTGCCCTGGGCAAGGAGATTCACCTGTGGCTACTTCTGACATTCAAAAGAGAATTCTGTTCAGGCTGGGTGAGAATCCCTGGGAGAGGGGACAGGTGGGCAGTCACCACACTCACCTGCAGCTTAGCCTCTGGACAGGTCAGCAAGGCAGTGAAGTGGGAGTTTCCTGGCTCATTCTATGGCAGACATTACAGAAACCCATTCATAGCTGGGCTTGGGGGACACAGTGGTCCACTGCCCATGGCAACAAGGGTCTCATCCGTGTGACACCCCTCGCCCCTCCCACCCCCCGGGCCTTGGAGCCTCTGGACATCAGTCCTGGTCCGGGCTTCCCTCTGCCCTTGACCGCCAGCATGCTTTGGGCTGGGTGCTGCACTTCCAGGAGGCTTGTTGAGATTCTTCTATAAATAATATGGGGTTGATGACTCCCCCCTTGAGGGATGCAGCACAGACTAGACAAGATGCATGGGGGACTAGTGCAGAATACGGCACATGCTGGGACTTCCTTGAAAGGCAGCTGGGCTGGCATGCCCAGGGGGCTTCCAAATCCAAACACCTTCTAGTCCCACACTTCTGCCTTCCACTACCCCCCCCCCCAAAAAAAAAAAAAAACAGGATGCAATGGTGAGGCATGCCCTTCTCTGTGCCTGGGAAGCCTCCTTGTTGGAGCCCCCAGACAGAACCCACCCTCTCCTCCTGAGTCCCTGTGCTTACTGGCAGCCTAGCATGAAACACATGAACAAGGTCTCCAGGGCACAGCATCAGGAGCCACAACCAGAACTTTGCTTCAAACCCATGTGCTGGAGATGGGGAGGCCAGGGAGAGGCCAGGAACACCCCAGAGCACACCTTGTGTCTGCTGCTTAATCTCAGCCAAATATGGCCAAATCCTCTTAACCTGTAGCCTGGGGTCAGGTTGCTCAGCCTCTCCACTCAAGGCCCTCCCTACCCAACCTTTTTTTTTTTTTCCTCCCTGCCCATCCTGCAGAGGCTGCTATTTAAAGACTCACTCTCCCGACTACCCCACAGGGACTGCCTATTGCCCCTTTCTGTGCTAAGTACCAAGGTAAGAACACACAAAATAGAGATTCCAACTCAGCTCTCTCTTCTCTGCTGTTTCACTGACTTTTTTTTAACTGCAAACCAGTGCTGCCGCTACAGCATTCCTAGAATGCCCCTTTGACTACAGGCCTTTTGTTTCCACCAGAAGTCATCAAAATAAGTCTCCACATGCCAAACAAATTCGGGAAAGGGGCTGAGTTCCCAAGACCCTCTCCTGCCACCTGCTGGCCACTCACCACAAGGCCTTGCAAATCTCCAAAGAAGGCCCGGGAATGAAGCCCCTGCCACAAGCAAGCAAGGGACTGAGCACCTGCTATGTACTTGGCATCAGTCAGCTTATTGAATCCTTATAACCATTACGTGCAAGAAAGGATAAGGAGGATTCTGAGGCTCAGAGAGACCTGGTGACTCAGCTACTAACCGTCAGATGTAAGACTACAATGCTGGAATGACTTAGGTTTGTTTTGCCTACACTCTCTGCGCCTGTTTCCTTTCTGTAAAATGAGGATCACATCGTAGTTTCACGTAAGATTGTTGTGATGGTTTAAAGAGCTAATAAATGCGAAGTGCTGAGAACAGGACAGGATATATAGTGAAAACTAAATAGCTGGGCATTTGCCTGCAGCCCGCACACATCACACACACCACACATATATGCATATGTCACATACACATGCACACATCACATGCCCATCACACACGTCACACACATATGCACACATCACATACCATGCATGTACACATCACACACCACACATGCACTTATATACCCTTCACACACACACATGCACACACACATCACACACTACAATGCCACACATACACACCACACATATACAAACACTAGTAGTGGAAATCAGGAAACTCAAGACTCTGTATCCAGAGTCTCGAATTTGGTCTACAGGTCCTTTACTGTCTGATGTATCCTTGGAAGAACTACACAAGGTGACTCATTTTCCTCCTCATAAAATAGGAAGCATAGATCTCCCCATGTCTCAGGGATGCTACAGGGAGCCAGGACGAGCATGACCCCTGTGCATGAAGCATGAAGTGCTCTACAGGTCATGCTGACCCTCTGGAAGTGTGTGTGGCTGACCAGCACTCCCGGCGCTTGCCTGGTACAAGGCAGTGAAGCTCTAGCCCCTGGAGAGGGCAGAGGCAAAGTGTCCTCCACCCAAACCTCCTCCAGACCAAGCCCAGGGGGGCACTGGAGCCCTCTGGAGCCCTCTGACACTAAGCATACTTAGGCACCTCCCTCTCTTCCTAGATTGAAGCATTCTGTCCCCTTCTTCCTAAAGTCCTTCCACAACCCAGTCCCCTCAAAAGCGGGGGCGGGGTGCTGGTGGCTTAAGTGAGGAGCTCTGCACTGCTGCTCAGGAAGGAGGCAGAATTTCCACAGGGGATAAAGGGATCAGGACACCCCAGCCAGAAGTTTATATTGTGTCTCTGCCAGGGAGGAGAGGAGTCATCAGACCCAGGGAAGCAGTCTCCCAGACAGCAGTGATGAAGGGGCCACCCACAGGCCACCAGATACCACAGCCTAGGCCCACCGTCTTGATTTTCTGGGAAGGACACATGGTGGAGCCACAATTCAGCCAATACCAGGGTGTGTCATCTGAGCCCAGAGAGAAATGTAGGATGCGTGCAGTGTAATCAGGTAGGACTGGAAAGAACTCTGGTTAGTGGGCCACGCAGCCTTGCAGGAGGGTTTCAGGACACCTCCATGCTGTCTATAGAATGTTTCCATCCGTGAGTGGATGGGGTCTGAGTCATAGCTCATTGAGTGACACAAAGAGAGCAAGGGGGTCCCTGTGAGAGGACAGCCCAGATCCAGCAAAGTCTGGAAAGGTAGATCCAGGACAAAATTCACCCCAGACAAATGGAAGGTCAGGTACTTGAGCACAAACACCAACTGCCAAGAAAGGGCAAGGGGAGGGATGAAGTTGATCAGAGCAAACCCTCAGGTGCTTAACCAGCACTGGGTCCAGAGCCAGGAGCCAGGAGCGAGTTACACAGCCACCCAACCAGCAAGTGGAAAGATGGCCACAGAAACAGCTAGAACAGTGATCTGGGCAAGGGAATGGGGGTTGGGAAGGTCCCACCCATGGCCAACCACTGACCCCAGACACATAGCACATATGGGTATGGACTGCAGGACAGTGAGGGCCCTTGAAGCCGTGGCATGAGGAGGACAGCTGTGGAACAGAGGGGCTGGTGGCCTGTTAGCACAAGTTGTCTCTGGGGACACCAGGGGTGGTGGCACGCCCAATGTGGGCAGAGAAGCAAAGGCATCTGTGCTCTGGGGGCTGGATTAAAAGACCTCTGGATTCTTCCTGAAACCCCTCTGGTTTCAAGAGACCAGTCCAGAAGGCTCCTGCTCTCTTACATTTTCCCAGCCACCAATCCCAGTGTCGTGTGCAGAAGAGCCTACCCTGATTCTCAGGCCTGAGGCAGAAGGCTCACTCCACAGCCGGGGAACCTTCCGCAGGGCCACAGTGTGGCTAGAGCACCTGAGCCCACTCTCTCTTCTCTTCCCCTCTTAGTGTTGATCGGCGTGGGCACTGAGACCTTCCTCCAGGGGCAGTTCAAAAGCCTGGCTTTTTATTTGCTGTGAGTATGTTTGCATGGGCCCCTCCTTGCCTGAGTGTTGTGCTCTGGCTCCCCCTGAGTCTGTCTTGTCAGACTAACACAGAGCAGCCCCCTACCCCTTTCCCACGCTAACTCTATCATGTCCCACAGGTGGAGGAAGCAGAGGGGGCTTCAAGGATATTGTCTTAGTTTGGGCAGGGCTTTGGTCAGATCACTACCTAAATAAAATAATTATCCTCCCATCCATCCACCTACTCACCCATCCTCCCATCCATCCATTCAACCGCCTATCCATCCATCTACCCGCCTATCCATCCACCCAGCGCAGCCAGCCAGCCATAGACTACTATCTATCCAGCCAGCCATCTGTCCACCCATCCATCTTTTCCATCATTTCTTTGTCAGCAAATATTAACTGAGCTCTTATTTTAAAGAGAGAGGAATCAGCTCAAGACTATGTATTTGAGCCCTTCTGCATGTCAAGCACAGAAAAATGTTTTATTTACATTGTGTCCTTAACCGACAGCACTGTGGAAGTGCATACTGACCTAGTTTTTCAGATTAGGAACTTCAGAGGGAATAAGCAGCTCAGCCCATGTCAGCAAACTTATGAGCAACAGGGCCCAGACTCAGGCCTGGGGCCACCGAGTTCCCTAGCCTCTGTCCTTTCTTCCCTGCCAGCCGCGTCCACAAATGCCTGCCAGTGGGAAGGAGATCACTGGGCTGTGGTGGCCTGAAGAGGGAGGAAAGCTTGGGGTCCCTGCCAGCTCTGACCAACCAGCTTCTCCAGCAGCCCCATTCTGAGAGATACAGAGTTCCTGTGCTTCTGGGCCATGGTTTGCCTATAGGGTCCCCAGGATGCCTCCTTCCCAACAACATCCACCTCCATCCCTGCCTCAGGGCAGCTCTTTGATTTGCTCAGTGGATCACACCCACTACCTCCCAGCAGTCTTCCACCCTTCTAGCCCATTTCCACACTACCACAAAGTTAGCCACCCAGAAATGCAGGGCTATTCCGGACAGCCCCTGCCACGGCCTCCAGGCCATATTTTTCTGCCATTTTCTAGCCTCCACTTTATTTCTGGTCACTGAACTTACACACACCTCAGGAGCCAGATGCTGTTCACACCTTGACTGGATGGGCGCCACTGACAGCCTGGAAGGGCCCACCGCTCAGATGGATTGTAACTCTGATGGCCACTGCTCCTCCCCTCCCCCCAAAGGAAAAAAAAAACTGGATTGGATTTTTTTTTTTTTCCTGGTCACTCGAGCACATCTAGATCACCCATTAGATTTTATCTGGGACCTGCAGTTTGGCTTTGGGATTGATCATCTTGTGGGTTTTTCCTGACGAATCCCTCGCTGCCCACCCTTTACTCTCTCCTCTGGTTCTCAACCTCAGCAACTTCAAATCCGTCGTCCTTTTTAGCTCCCGTGGAACTGTTTTGTACCTGCTTCTTTACTAGGCTACCCTAGTGCCATCCACCAGCTTTACTCTCTGACACACACACACACACACACACAAATTTTAACTTGGTTTTTCTTTTTTTTGTAAATAATGTACATACTGTTGATTTTTTATTAAAAGAAATATGCTTTGATGTGCTAGCAAAAAAAAAAAAAAACTGACTCTTTTTCAAACTCACCTACATCACCTCACCTCCAAGCTGTTGCTCATCCCATCGAGCACCTGGGGTGACTTACCACCCACCTCGACATTGCCAAAGCCTGATATTCCTTCCTGGCGTTCTGCCTGGGAAGCCTGCCCCAAGCCTGGAGCCCTGCTGCCTGAAAGTGACTTCTCTTCGCTCTGAACTCCTTCCGTGTCTTACTGAGCCTGTCCACAGGGGCCGTGCACTGTCTCCCTGGAATCCAGAAGCAAGCCTGGTCTTCCTCTTTTCTCTCATCCTCTCTTTCTACCTAGCTTCCCCACAAATGTCACCTCAGGTAAGGGGCAAGTGTGATTGTCTTACTGTAACAGGTCAGCTCCATAGCCAGTTAATGCAAACTGCATCCTGCCCAGAAGCCTGCCCCTTCCTCATTGTTCTGTCCCTGTCCCGAGGGCCCATCTGATCACCTTGTGGCCCAGGCCTGGAAGACATTATTTCTAGCCTCAGGTCCCCCCAGCCCTCACTGTGCAGTAGTTTATGTACTGCTTCAGCCCCCCACGGGATGGGCAGCCACTGCCCGCCTGCGCATCCCTCCTGCACTCACACTCACTCCTCAAGGGCCATCTCAACATCCTGCTTCCCTCTTCCCTCACCATCTCCTGCCCTTCCTTACACACATGCAGTCTCCTCTGCAGATCTCAGACTCCCACCTCTGTGTTCCCTCACACTCAGAGTGTAGCACACTCTCGATTGTAGCACACCCCTGTAGCGCTGTCACTCCCTGCACTGTATCCCGGGGACCCAGCAGGGCCGAGGCCAAGAGCAGGCCCCAGTAGGAACTGAGCTATCACTGGTTTTGTCTTTGCTCTTCTCTACTTCTCTACACACCAGCTTCCTCTCCTGTCATTCTCCTTCCTGCGGGGCCCCTCACCCGCCTTCCTCACACTCACCCCAAACAGCAGACACACCATTGGCTGAAGAGTCTGAGTGGCTAATGTGGTGCCCCAGGGCAGAGACTGTGGTTCGTAGGATCTTGCAACAACAAACAGCAAGGCTCTCGGCTTGGATTCACTGCCCCGCCTGAGCGACCAGACTTTCCGGGCCTCAAAAGGCACAGCCTCTATAGCACCAGACAGGACACCTGCCAAGTCACTCTACTGCCCAAGCCTCAGTTTCCTCCTTGTCCCCCATCCCAGGATGTACAAAAAGGTGATGACACTTGTTTTACAAAGTACGTGCCCTGGTGTGCTTGTGAGGAATACAGGCTCAGGAGTCTAGGTGCTGGGTTCAAATATTGCCCCTGCTTGTGATCTGCTGTGTGACCACAGCAAGGAGCCTGACCTTTCTGTGCCTCAGTGCCCATAGCTGTAGGCTGAGGGTTATTACAGTGCTTTAACAATAAAATTGTTAGAAGGACTAAATGAATTGATACTTCTAAAGTCCTTAGAACATGCTTGGCACAGAGTCCTCATTATGTAATGTCAGTTATTCAATCTAAAAGTTGAGGGATAAGGGTTAGGGAGATACTGAGAGAGAGAGAGAGTAGGAGAGAATAGGGATTAAGTACTAAATGCTCATGGAGAAAGAGAAAAAAATGATAATAACTAACATTTATCTAATGAGCACTATGTGCCACATTTGAAAGGCTTTACAAACATCTATTCATTCATTCACTCATTCATTCACTCTAGTGATGTCCATGGAGCACTTAACAATAAGCCATTCCCAGAGTGGGCCTGGGCTGTAGAGAAGAATTAGAGAGGGAACTGCCAAAATGAGTTCACAGACTGGTAGCTCAGGTCACACCAAGCAAGAGGGCACCAGACAGACAAAAGGAGGAAAGAGGAGTCCTTCCTAGAGGAACTAGCTTGTGCAAAGGCCCTGTGGCACCTGGTAGCTTCCTGAGTATTCAGAGAACTATAGAAGTTCACGTAAGGCTTTAAAGGCATGTTAAGAAATTTCAATTTTATAGGCCAGTGGGATCCTCCAATAAAGCATGTAAGTTCCATTCCTGAAGATTCTGATGTATCATGTCTGAGGCTAGCACAGAAATATATGATTTTACATATTTTCCAGAAGATTCTGATTGGAAGTTCCCTGTACCACACTTGGAACATGAGGAGTTTGAGGCTTTCTGGACTGGGGAGAATATCATCACATTCAGATGTCAGAAGGAGCCCTCAGGGCAGCCAGTAGGGACAGATAGAGGGGCGGGAGAGGAGAGCAGATGGCAGGGCATTAGGGAGGCAGAAAAGGAGAGATGAGTGCAGGGCTCAAGGGGGCAGTACCCAAACTCAGGTCATATAGGTGAAGTCAGAAACTGTTTGGATAGTGGGAAAAGGGGGAGAAGGAAGGAGTCTGGAACAGATCCAAACTTAAGGTTGGCACAACCGAGTAGTGAATGTTATCCTCATGACAGAAGGGAGAAAGACGTGCCTGCCTCTAGCAACACAGGGACTGGGATCAAGGCAGCCTCCCCTGCTGGTCTGTACTCCCTCACCCATCTCTGGGCCCTGGCTCTGACCCCTCCACTGAGGCCCAACCCAGCACAGGTCCTGGCATCAAGGCAACTCCTGGAAGATGCTGGCTGGGCGGCAGCATTAGGTCAGGAAACTCCTGGTCAGTTTGTTGGCCATAGATGGCCAGGAGCCCCAAATGCTATGCGGAAACAGGCCATGGGAGAGTGAAGGGCAGATCAGATGACAGCAGACTTCCCTTATCTGTCTCCACCACAGGTTTATAGGAGCTGTCATCTCCGTGTGTGAAGGGGCCTACTTTGTGTCTCAGCTGCTGGCCATCTGCTTCCAGTAAGTAGCCTCAAGAACATCACCTCCTAGCCCCAGACACCCCCAGAGCCCTCCTTCCGTGAGGCCACATCCCCCTGTGATGTCCTGCTCCCAAAGAAGCTACATATGGGTTCCCTCCTGAAGCACAGCTAGCCCTGCCTGGACATGGGCTCAGCTCTGCAGGGCTCAGCAGTCCCCTTGCTCTGCTCCCAATCAGGGGAGTGGAGTGAAGCATTCACACAGGGCCTATCCCCACCTAGCATCCCCTGCAGAGGCCATTCCCACCTCCAGGAACAGCCCACAGCTGCATGTGCCACCCAAGGCACCCATGGAGAGGTGATGGCCCTGCAGAAGGCCGGGTGGTCTTGGAGTAAGCAGAGTTAGATTTGAGAACTGGCTCTTTTTCCTGCTAGGACCCAGGCACAAGTCAAGTGCTACAAGGATCTTGGGAAGCCACATGGCCATGGAAGCCCATACTTGCTGTCCAGTAGTGCTCAGTTCATAGAAACTGTCAGCAGGGTGGCCAAGGGCTGTCCCTGGACCACAACTCTCAGAACCCAAACAGTTGGGTCTCTCAGTAGTCAGAGAAAGAGCCAGGCCTCAAATCCAGCTGTCCTAGTACCTTGCAAGACGATCAGCTGCCTCCCAAGTTTCCCAGCCCTGAGGCAACAGGCTTCCTCCTTTCTGATTAATGTCACTGCCAAGGAATCTTAGCAACTACTCCAGCACAGAGGAAGGAGGAACACTGAGTCCAAAGAGGCATTTCATCCAGCTCTGGACTCCCTCCTCTCTCAGCCAGGGGCTGGTCACAAAAGTGTCCACTAGAGGGCACCAATGAGCCATAGCTATGGTGCCTGGACCAAGGACTGTGCTCTGGACCAGCCCATCATCCTCCAACCCCCACCACTGCCCCCAAACCAGCCTGGACAGACCCCTGCTCCAGACCAATTCAGAGGATGAAGGAGACAAAGCTAAAGGCAGGTCCTTTCCTCCTCTGAAACCTGGAGGCAAAACTCCTGAGGAAACCTCCTCAACATCAGTCCTCTGCCAGACCCAAGTGTGATCCCTCCAGGCCAGTTCGCAAAGAAGCCCCTCTGGGCTGATGCCATCTTATGCCTAGGTGAGGCTCTGTGAGCAAGGTGGACCTGGATTCCAGCCAGTTCACTCAGGTGGCCAGGCAGCTTGTGTGGTGCACCGTCCACACAACTGTCCCCAGCCAGCTGTTTCCCATACTGTGTGCCTTCTCCACTCCACTGGGGACCTCCAAATGGGCCCCTGAGTCTCCTATTCTTCTCACTGACTTTGTTGAATCATGGTATCATTTAGATCCCGTCACCCTTGATAGAAAGACAGGATTAGGCAGGCTTTCAGAAAAACTGTGGGCCCTCTGGAAGGACTCAGGCAAGACCCCTAACTGTGGAACCCATGGTGAGGACCCTAGCCCCTAGGGAGTGTTCAGCCAGAGGCCACTAAAGATAACGTGGGCATGGCAGATCCCAATCCCAGCCTCTAATCTCTGCACATGTCGTTGGGACTTTTCTGGGTTGTTTCCTGTTTCCTGCTAATCCTGGACTCCCTCCCACCAGGTGTCGGCCAGAGTCCCTGGCCTACAGAGCAAGGGAGAAAGCCCGCTGGTTAGGCTGCTTCCAGAAGTTCCTGGCATACGTGCTGCTGTCCGTGGCCTGCTTTCTCCACCCTGTCCTGGTCTGGCACGTGACCATCCCAGGTAGGAGCTCCAGGAATTAGTGAAGGCAAGGATCCCCCACCACAGGGGGCTCTGAGCAGGAGAGGCTGAATCCCTCCTCTCTAGGCCTCAGTGACACTGGCTCCAGGGCCCCACTGGCTCCACTAACTTCTCTGGCCTAGGTCATGGGGATGAGGAAGTATCAGATATCCTGCTGACCAAGAGGCAGGAATGTCCCTTCATGTAGGTCCTGAGGCCACACCCACAAACGGAGACTTTTCACCCAATGCCTATGTGTGATCTGAGCCTTCAGAGAGTGTGAGCTAGTCACCTCTCTGTCCAAACCCCTCCATGGCTCCCCAGTGCCTACCCATTCAGGTCTAAAACTCCTCAGCCTGGTTCGGAAGTCATGCCATGATGGGACCCCGGGCATCCCCTCAGAGCCTCCTCATCTCCCGCTCTACCTCAGAGGTCGTGCTAGTCAGCTAGAAGCCAGGACTCAGTGCTCCCAGCCCTGGGTTTTGTCCACAACCTCTCCAGCTAGTACCCTTCTGTTCCCAGACTCCCTAGCTGTGAAAACCATGTCCCTCCCCATGACCTGCCTAAAATGCCAGGAAGCCCAGTGGGCAGAGAGGCAAAGTTGAAAGGCAGAGCCTCCTCTTCTTTCCTGCAGTTTCTTTTAATGTACCTGTCACAGCATCAAGGCCACTCTGCCCAGCCCTCAGTGGACTCCAGCAATTCAGAGATTGCTGAGGTCAAAGCAAGCCACAACTTCCCACTCCTTAGAGAAGGAGAGATGCCCAGAGGCTTCCCCTGGATAGGACAGGTCTCCTGGCAGGAGACCCAGAGCAGAACAATGTCAGCCTGAGACAGAGGGACCTCTGACTTGGAGACCAGGGGTCGAGGGGGTGAGGTTGTAGGGAGTACACATAAGAGGGGCACCCAGGCTAGGCCAGCCCCACCCAATAGGATTTACACTTTCCTCCATGTTTATTAGGGAAGCTGAGGAAAGAGCATCTCCCCACATCTGGGAATGGAAGGAAGCCCAGTTCAGCAGTGGATGTCCAGTATCCAAAATAGAGTGCAGGCCCACTGCAGGCACTGCAGCCCCAACCCAACATATTATCCTAACAGGGTGGCCAAGCATGGTGATGAGAGGCCAAGCAGGCAGCACCAGGGTTGGCTGTCAACAGGCAGGGGGCCTCAGGCACAGGGTCCCCAGCTAACTATCAGGCTGAGGGCCCCAGCACAACTCTGGCCCCATTGACATCCCTTAGCCAGACATCAGGCCAGCCCCCTGAATCTGAAGTGGGTATGTGAGAACAGATTAGATGCACAGGCTGGAGCCCAGAGGGCCTGAGTGTGCCACGGTGGCCCTTTGGAATGGTGGGCTTGGACAGCCTCTGGCTTTTCTCCGACATACATCTAGCATCCTGACCTCCCACATCCCTTCCAGGTTCCATGCTCATCATCACTGGCCTGGCCTACTTCCTGCTGAGCAAACAGAAGAAAAGAAAAGCTGACCCAGAGGTGCTGGCTCCCCCAGAGCAGTACACGGACCCCTCCAGCAGTGCTGTGAGCACCACAGGCTCGGGGGACACTGAGCAAACCTACACCTTCCACGGAGCCCTCAAAGAGGGGACCGGCTCCCTCCTCATCCACATGAAGAGCATTCTGAAGGGGACCAAGAAGCCCAATGCCCTCCAGCACCCAGACACTCTGACCGAGCTGACGCTGGAGCCAGCTGACTCATTGGTCAAGAAGAAGCAGGTACACTTTGAAGACAGTATGGTCAGAATCATCCCATCTCTCACCGAAAACCCAGATGATGGGGACAGTGAGCCTGAGGAGACCACCTCTGACACCACCCCTATCATCCCTCCCCCACAAGCCCCTATCTTCCTATCTTCTCTCACAGACACCAATCTATTCTGAGTGACTTGCTCCAGCCTCAGGGAAACTCAGCAAGCGGTCTGCATTGATTGATGGCCTTTCCTGGAGTTTCCTGGTGTCTGGGGGCCCTCCAGGGAGATTGGGGTTCTCACAAGTTAGTGCTTCAAGGGTTGACCAGATATCCCCATGATAGCTAGGCTTCTGGGACCATCGAGTGGCATGGCAGGTCCTACAGAGGCCTCAAGGAAGGCACAAATGAAGCTAATGTTGCCTCAAGCCAACAGAGGTTCCTCCTTCCCAGACTTAGAGTGGGGGAGATCCTTGTGCTTTACATAAGGCCGCTTCAGCCCCAGAAGCCAATGGACTTCTCTTGCTCCTGACACGGGGGCCCAGCACTCAGCAAGGACTCATCATCCATCCCATCTCTGAGGCAACAATCCAGCTCCGAAGGCCAAAGGACGTGTTGACTCCTTAAGCATCTCAAAGGCAGGTGTGGAAGGTGGCCCTAGATCCCAACCCCCTGGTGAGATTGCTCCTGAGGGAAGCAAGGCTGCAAGCCCCGCAGGATGGGAGCAGCAGGAGCAGTGGGCCGCATTCTCTGCATGCCTGGGGCTGGCGCTGGGCAGCAGGAGTTACAGAGCCCTTCAGGGAACAATGCCACTCTGTTCTCACTGCAGGGAAATGCAAGCTCATTCCAGAAGCATCACTGAGGACTCCCCACATCCCCACCACATGAACTTTCCCCGAGATTCCATGCAGATGATGTAAACTAAAAGATCTTGGAAGGCAACAACGATTCAGCAATGAGAGCCCCAGCACAGCACAGCACAGCACAGCACAGCACACAGAGCCTCTGGTGTGGGGGGTGGGCAGGGAAACGGTGCTCCGGAGACACACAGCCCAGAGAAGTGGCTGTGCCATGCCTACTGGCCTGGTGGCAGAATAGGTGATAAGTATACATTTGTTTAAAATGTAAGGGAGAGAAGGGGATGGGAAGAGGGGGGATAGGAGGGAAGTGGGAAGGCAGGCTAACTCTCTGCCACTGGACTACAGAAGTGACCATTAACCTAGAACAAACAAAGAAATTTGAATCAGAAATTCCTTCAAAGGTTTTCAAAGTGGTATTTGTTTCAAAAAAGTGTCATTTGGCCCGTGGGATTATTGCATAGAAGAGCAGACACATTATTCTTCATAGGCAATCTCAGTGAATGGGTGATCTGTAGAAACAGTGATAGTGTTTCCCAGTGTGTGTGTGAGAGAGCAAGCACCCCGGTTCCACAGAGCAACCCTTAGAGCACATAATTTAAGGACTAGGTAATAAACATGTGTTCATTCCTGACATTTTTAGACATCCCCTAGGAGTTACTTTGCAAACATGTGGGAATAACGGCCAGATGATCAGTCTGGTGCCTAAATTCAACAGGTGTCCCAAATGAGCAGCCTTCTTCCCGTAATAACATAGTTCTTCCTGTAAAACCAAGAGAGAACAAACAAATAAAAATGTTCCGATGAGCCCTTGATAATGGAAGTGGCGAAACTGCTTATCTGCCACCAAAGAAGAGCTTCAGAATCTGAGAGTCCACAGAGTAATAACAGAATGTGGGTATTGGTAGACAGGAATGGCACCCAGTTCCTAATGGGCCAGATATCCCAGGCAGGCCCCCTGGCACAGAAGAAACCTATGTGGGGAGGAGCCAGGGGTTCTGCACCTGTCACATGCGTTAGGGGAATTTGATAGACACGGGCACCCTCACAGAGCAGGCATGGGAGGCTGCTGGAGAACCCCTCGCTTCTGCTCTGTTCTCGGTTCTCAGAACCCCAGCCAGCAGGGTGGGGACGGATGACCAGTTCACAAGAAGCAAACCCTGAAGTGCAGTATCAGAGCTGTTTAATAAACACTTCTGTAAACCCAAGGAGCAGAGCATTGTTTGGAATGGGTCTTAGAGGGGAGGCACATGTCAAGAGTTCCAGGTGATATGATGCTCCTGCCCTCCTGAGACATCTGGACTTCCCAGTGTCCATCATCAGTAAAGCGAGAGTTTGCTGGCTATGCTTTAGGGACTCAAACAATTATGATCTTCCCTAACTTAGCAAAATAATTCTATCAAACATGCTGTTGCTGCCAACAAAAACAACAACAGCACAGCTGGGATGAGATCATTAAACAGCCTGGAGTCCCTCACCTCTGTCAGTAGACCAGAAAAGAAAGTGGCACCTCCTGATGAGCAGATGAACACCACATGTCATCATTTGATTCTCAGCCCAAGACATTCTACCAGCGCATCCCTACCCACAGCTAGCCCGTAAAGATGTTGTAATAACCCTTTTCCCTGATGAGAAACGAAGACCAGAATGGCTGATCCTATCCTGTTCTTTTCCCTTTCCCAGCAGAAAGTGGAGCAGACATGTCTACATTTTGTAGACATGGAACAGAGCAATTGGAAGTAGAAAGAACATTGGGCTGGGATCACTGGCGCTGCTTCTAACCTGCTGATAGACCTTGGCCAACCTTCAACTTCTCTGGTTTCAGGTTCCCCTATTATGTGGGAATAATAGCACTTCTCTCAGGATTGGTGCAGTGATTCAACCAAAAGGATGGGGAAAGTGCTGTTCAGGTTACAAAATCATCCAGGCCAGTGTGAGTGCATGTCCCAATCACTGCAAGGGCCTCATGCCATGTGTGAGTGCCCTGCAAGGAAGACATAATGTAAGGAAGCACTGAGGAAGCAAGATATGATGTCTCAGTGGCAAGGCCAGTGCAGGTCCAAAAATTCCTTTCTCCACTCCAGATTCCAGGGCTTGAGCCTTGGAAAAGTGTAGCCACCACCATCCAGCTTAGACAGAGAGCCACAGCAGATCATCAATCATGAGGATATACTGGGGCGGGGGGGTGCGATCCAGTATATCCATTCTGTCTCCCATCTTTCTTTCTTCCTTTTCTTTCTTTCTTTCTTTCTTTCTTTCTTTCTTTCTTTCTTTCTGCTTTCTTTCTTCTCTTTTTTGTTTTTAAAACATACTTACTGAGATATGATTCACAAACCATAAAATTCACCAATTTAAAGTGCACAATTAAATTATTTTTAGTATACTCATAATCAAGTTCATCACAATCTAAGTTCACAATATTTTCATCACTCCTAAAAAAAACCTGGTACCCATTAACAATCACAACCCCAACGCCATCCAAAAGAACCATTTATCTACTTTCTCTCTTTATAGATACTCCTATTCTTGCATTTCATATAAATGGAATCATATAATATGTGGCCTTTTGTTATTTGCTTTGTTCACTTAACATAATATTTTCAAGGTTCATCCATGTTGTAACATGTATCCTTATGTTACTCCTTTTTGTGGCTGAACAATATTCCATTATAGGTATATGCCACATTGTGTTTATCTCTTCATTTGCTGATGGACATTTGGGTTGTTTAGACTTTGTGCCTATGATGAACAATGTTGCTATGAATATTCATATTTTGAGGTGGATATATATTTTCATTTCTCTTTGACATCTGCATAGGGGTGGAATCATTGGATCAAATAGTAACTCAAGGTCTAACTTCTTATAAAACTGCCAAATGTTTTCCAAAGGTGCTACATCATTTTACGTTGCCACTAACAATGATTTCTCCACATCCTCACCAACATTTGTTAATGTCCTTTTGATTATTGTCATCCATTCATTGTGGTTTTTACATTCATTTCTCTAATGACTCACAGGGTAGAGCATCTTTTCATGTCATTGTTGACCATTTGTGTATCTTCTTTGAGAAATGTCTATTCAAATTATTTGCCTTTTTGAAATTGGGTTGTCTTTTGAGTTGTTAAAGTTTCTTATATATTCATATACTAGGCCCTTATCAGATACTTGATTTACAAATATTTTCTTCCATCCCATGGGTTGCCTTTTCACTTTCTTGGTACTGTCCTTTGAAATACAAAAGATTACATTTTGGTGAAGTCCAACTTATCTATTTCTTTTCTTTTGTTGCTTATTGTTTTGTTGCCAAATCTAAGAGGCCATTGCCTAACCAAAGGTCATGAATGTTTATTCCTATATTTTCTTCTAAGAGTTTTATAGTTTGGGTTCTTAAATTTAGAAATAACAGTTGGAGGTAATTTTTGTGCATGGTGTAATGTGGAGTCTAAATTAATTATTTTACTTGTGGATATCCAGTTGGCCCAGCACCATTTATTGAATTAAATTGTTTTGCCTCCTTTGTTGAAAATGTATAGACCATAAATTTCTGCACTTGCAGCTCTATTCCATTGATCTGTGTATCTGTCTTTATGGCATTAGCACAGATAACTGTACCTTTGTAGTAAGTATATTTTGAAATTAGGAAGTATAAGCCCCCAACTTTATTCTTTTTCAAGATGGTTTGGTTTTCAAGGTCCTTCGTATTTCCATATGATAAAGGATCAGCTTGTCAATCTTTGCAAAAAAAAAAAAAAAAGCCAGCTGGAATTTTGATAGGGATTTATTTCATGGACTCTGCAGATCAGTTTTGAGAGCATTGCCATCTTCACAACGTAAATTCTCCCATCCCATCAATGTATGGTGCCTTTCTATTTATTTAGATTGTCTTCAAACTCTTTCAATGTTATGTGCAAGCTTTACCCTTCTTTGTAAAATTATTCCTAAGTATTTTGTTCTTTTTTCATGCTTCTGTGAATGGAATCATTTTCCTTTTTTCTCAGCTTTATTGAGGTATAATTGACAAATAAAATTATATATATTTAAGTGTACAATGTGAAATTTAATTTACACATTCATTGTAAAATGATTTCCACAACCAAGTTAATTAGCACATCTATCACCTTTTTAGGAATTTGTCCATTTCATCCAAGTTATCTAATTTGTTGGTGTCATATTGTTCATAATACTATGCTACAGTCCCTTTCATTTCTGTAATTTGAGTCTTTTCCCTGTTCTGCCTGGTCATCCTAGCTAAAAGATTGTCAATTTTGTTGAACTTTATTTTTTTAAGGATTTTATTTATTTATGATATACACAGAGAAAGAGGCAGAGACACAGAAGAGGGAAAAGCAGGCTCCATACAGGGAACCGGATGTGGGACTCGATCCTGGGTCTCCAGACCACACCCTGGACTGAAGGCGGCGCTAAACCGCTGAGCCGCCCGGGCTGCCCTTTTGTTGAACTTTTAAAAAAAAAAAAAAAATCCAATGTTTGGTTTCATTGATTTTTTTTTATGGTGTTTATATTTTCTCTTTCATGTATTTCTCTTCTAATCTTTCACCTTTCTCTTATACTTATTTTGCTTTTAGTTTGCTCTTCTTTTTGTTCAGGTAGAAGTTAGGTTGTTGATAGGTATTTCTCATTTTTTAATATATACATTTACAGCTATCCATTTCTTTCTGAGTGCAGCTCAAGCTGCATCCCATATGATTTAATACATGGAGTTTTTGTTTTTATTCATCTGAAAGTATTTTCTAGTTTTCTTTTGTTTCCTCTTTGGCCCATTTAGGAATATGTTATTTATTCTAGTTAAACTCCATTGTGGTTGGAAAACACATTTGGTATGATTTCAATTTTTTCCATTTATTCCTTTGAACATATTTATGATAGTTGCCTGCAAGTCTTTGTCACCAAGTCCCGCTTCTGGACCCCCTCAAACACTGTGTCAATTGTCTGCTTTTTCACATGTTCTTTCATTGCATATCTCAAAATTTTTGTTAGCTAAACATTTCAGATAATATATAGTAACTACCTCAGATACTCATCCTCCCCCTTCCCTGCCTAGGTCTCTAGTTGTTTATTCATTTGTTTATCCTCTTGCCATTGTTTGGCTACTAACTTAGCTGGACTAATTCTGTGAAGTCAATCAGTTTTCCCCTCTTTATGTCCCTGTTCAGATTTTTTTCATTGTGTTTAATTTTTTAGCCTGTTCCGCAGGATTCTTCCCAGGCCAGCATAAGCCATTAATTGGTCAAAAGCTGTGATTATGTGCCTTTTACCAATTAGATACTTACCCTTCACCAGCGTGTGTGTGAGACTTGGAGACTTCTATCATAGTTCCAGAAATTTACATTTTTTCCCTACATTTAGCCAGGGACTAGTAGCTTGGATGTTTCCTTCCTAATCACTCCTGAGAGAGAACAAATTTGGACACACAGAGCTGTGTGCCTAGCTGTGCCAGGCTATCAGGCATATGAGTGACTATATTTTTGAGACTGGCTTTCTAGGAGTTCCTTCTAGCCCAGTATTTGGTGCTTAAGTCTCTTGTGCCAGTGAGACATCTACCATTCATTGATGGATCTGTGCTGTGAACTGAGGAATGATTTCAAGTCTGCCCTACCTCCTGCTAATCATGTCTGAGCAGGTACAGCCTAACAATTTCACCCGGCCTTCCCGATTCCCAGAATTGACTGAGATCTCAAGACGGCTCTTCTTGGCTGTCTCTTTACCCAATTCTCTAGTGAACTCCTAGCTATTCCTCTCTTTTGCTTGTTGCTGCTAATGCCATGGAGTTATGAGCATCGTTTTAATTGCTCTCTACCAAGATCACCATCGTTTTCAATAGCTGTCCCACCCGCCATGCATGGACTTCTCCACATTCTGTTCTACATAAAGTCAGTCACCTGAGGCAGAGCTGTGAGTACTTCAGCCTCACTGTCTGCTTTCTCCCCAGGTAGAACATCTGTAGCACTACACAAGAGACAGAGATGGGGGCACATTTTTGCTTCCCCAGAGTGACATTCCATTCTATAAGTAGGTACTGAGATGGAAACAGCCCCAATACTCAACTTGCCTCTCCCAGCACAGAGCCCCCATCCTGGGGTGGGTGAGGTTTGGCATTTTCAGACCACTCTACCTGGACCAGACTGCTTCTGCTGTGGG